GTAGGGAAATTATTGAATCTCCAGCCCTGGAAATTTTTAAGAGTAGCACAGATAGACACTTGGTTGGGGTGGTTTAGTCAGGGATGCTCCTGTCTTGAACAGGGGGTGAGACTAGGTGACCTCATGAGGTCACTTCCAGCCCTGCTTACTTATGGTTTAAATTAGGAGTAACTTGACTTCACTGGATTTATATGTCTGTGAAATAAGTAAAAGAGAGATGAGGGCCAGGGGTTGACATTTTATATCCATAGTCCACTCTTTTGAAGTATGTTGCTTTATACAGCTTTGACATTTAAACTGAGAAGGTATATTTTAGGATCATTAATAAATTGTCTCCTTTAATTATTCTGAAATTTTAAATGGAGGCATTTTTACATCCTAAATGACATTCTGTGAGCATTTCCTATTTGTTCAGGAAACAGCCATCTTTCCTGAAATTTTATTCCAATGTAATAGACAGAAATAAGTATTACATTTAATATTGGGACAGCAGATTTTAAGGGATCATTTCTGCAATTATAAGAACTCACTTGCCTTGTGTCTAAGTGCATGCCTACCTTACCTTGCCAGTGCTGTAGAGACTTTCCTGAGTGCACCTTGCTCACCCATGCCTGCACACATGTGCCAAACCTAGAAATGTAGTGTTGAATACATTCTTGAATTCCCCATGTAGTTCACACTCAAAATGCTTCAGAGGCACAGGACTTGAGAGATTGCAGGTGGTACCCTTAGCATAGCTTCATTTCTGCATTTCCAGACATGGCATGTGCAAGCAGGAGAAGGCAGTTGAGATTTGACTGGGATTATCCCAAAGTGATACAGACAATTCTTGATGTACACTAAATCCTTGTAGTTTGGTAATTTGTAGTTTGGATATTTCTTTTGTGTTGTGTTTTAACAAATGTGCTAAAGTTGATGCTGTTTTTGGTGAATAGATCTTGTTTGATGAATGGTGGGAATAATCCAATGTTATCCACCTGTTTTCTGCCATTGTCAGGTAAATATAGAGATTCATTAAGATTAAATTATCCTGGGAAACAGAACATTTGCCAACTTGTGACAGCAGTGCTGCCACTGAGATCCTTTATTTCTAAGAATTATGAAGCAGGAGTAGGAGTTGTTTTATTTATATTATAGGTTTGGTTTTGGAGATTCTGTGGAGGCAAGTAAATTGGCAATAAGCTAACATTGACCAGTAACAGTACGGTAATACCATAACCATAAAATTAGGATGCTTTGATGAACAGGAGCAGTAGTTGTGCTGCTCTTGGGCCAGTTGCAGTGATTATGTTTTCACAGATTTTATTTAAAAAGGAAAATTCAAGAAGGGCTGTGTTTACTTTGTGCTAGTTTGATGCTTATAAATTAATTGAATGTGTTTGGGGTATCCTGTACTGAAATATAAGGAAATATTGCATTGTAATAAATAAAATAAGGCCAGCTGACCATTTGCATAGGTTGCATTTGGCTTTTGCTATGAATCTTGACACCAGTATTTCACCTTGAATTGCAGTGTAACTAAGCCATTCATTTCATTGTATGATTTCTGCTGTTAGAGAAATCCTAGAGAAGTCCTAGAGAAGTGGTTTGGACGGGTCCATAGGTCATCTAGTTTGTTCTTTCCTTAAGTTGACTACCACAGGCAGAAGTCAATTTATTTATTTCTGAACTGATCTAAGCTTTTTGCGTGTTAGCCTTCTCTAACTGTGCCATTTTTCTTTTTGTGTATATGTATGTCCGTTGGTTTTTTTGTTTGTTCTGTTTTCTACCATTGTGCTATTTCTACTTTTGCTGCTATATATTCTGACAATCTGGGGATAGGCACAGGCTGTGACTTTTGGGAATAAAAGTGTCGAGTCAATGGGATGCATGAACGGCTCACAGAATAAAGAGTCATCAACATACAGGACAGTGAATCATATCTACAGCTCAAGCTTGAGGGTAAAACTATAGCAAGAAGGAGAGAGACTTAGTTTACAGTGATGTCATATATTGTCAGGATGGCCAGTTTTCATGGCATCACATGTAGCCTACTAAATGTTACAGAAAAATATACAGTCCTTAGCATGAAATACAGTTTCATGTTATACATTTCTATCTCTTTTGGCCTGTCTTTATTTTATTTTTTTTTCCCATCGCTACACTCATGGCACTGCCATCTGACATTTCTCAGAGAAAGTGAATGTGCAATGTGTAGCCTGGATCTGTAGTAAATGTAGCCTGTGGATAGTGAGTGGGGACAGCAGAAAACACAGTGCCTGGAGAAAAAAATAGCCTGTTTTAGCTGTCTTTCAAGTGAATGTATTCCAACAAAGCTAGTATGTATTGCAAAATGCTCTGTGATTGACAACACCCATTCCTAATGTTACTCTCTGCAATATTTCTTCTCAGCATTTTGTGGATCTTGTTTATTGGGGTGGGAATATCTATGAATAAAAAAACTATTGCTTTTTTTTAAAGAGGAGTCCTAGGTCTGAAAAGTTTTATATCTGTAGCATACTCTGAATATGAATGTGTTTTAGCAGCTCTACAATAATGCACTAGCAGTCAACAGATCCAGATTATGGATGAATAGCAGAGGTAATAATTCAGTGCTGGAGGGGGAAGTGGTCTTAGGTGCCTTGCTCACACAACAGTGCCAGTACCGAACCTACCAAAATCTATGAACTTTGGTGGTTCAGGCAAAATGAAACCAGGACCTTAAGCTGTTCTGTGACCCATAACTAGAGAATCAGCCCATAACCACTTTAAACCTGGCATATTGTTTTGTGCATCTGATTTTGAATAAGGTCAATAAAATTGCTGATTATTAAACAGAGGTACCCATGGGGGATCTCACTACATTATGAAGGAACTGGAAGCCTTCTGCATCAAAAGAAAAAAAACCCCACCAAACAGTTCTCATTATGAGGCCCTCTCTTCTAATTTCGCTACATAATTCAGTTAATTGTTATCACAAGGAGTTGTTGACCATACAGCATTCTATCTGCAACCAAGAAGAAAGAACAGTGGCATAAAATGTGAATGGGGCCTTTTTACTTTAGGAAAAATCATTTATATATAAACACACACACACACCTGGCCATAACAAAAGAATTTTCAATATATAAAATTAATAATGATTGGAAGATGAAATAATTTTTCATGCTGCCTCTAGAATGAAAATCTGGTCATGTCAACCATACATGCCAGCATTGGTTGAAAAAGTATTATGAGTTTCAGCTCCCATGGGCTAGAAACTATTCCATCTCTTAGGCATGTAAGTTGACTTAAGCACGTAAGTGTAATTCTATTCCACCTTGCATAAGTCCTTGAGACACTGTTAATACAAAAGTTAGGTGAATCCTCCTTCTCTCTATTGCTTTTATGTGACTCATTTTTAAAGGTAAGACGCCAGTGACTGCATCCACATGAGACTCTGACTGCATAGTATCTTGTTACTACTGCATAATCTCTTGTATGGCAGGAAGCATGATGCAACACTGCTGCAGAGTAGTAACAAGCCTCTGCGCAGTCAGCATCACCTAAAAGCCGTTCAGTGACACTACTATGCAGTAACTCCCATTACTGCACAGTCATTTAGTACTTGTATAACCAAGTGCTGGAGGGGGAAGTGTTAGTATTCAAGTACTAAATGACTGTACAGTAATGACTGCGCAGTCAGCGTCTCGTGGAGATGTGGCCAGCATGTTGCAAAAGTTGATGCATTAATGGATTTGCAGGGAATTGAACAGGGTGAAATAAAATTAAAAGTAGATGCTTAAGTCTATTTAGATGCCCGATAGGTAGAATACAATTTGGGCCCATAAGTGCATAAGACAGCCCAGGCAAGACAGAAATAAGGCCAAATTCCTGTTTTCCTAGAAAAAGTCCACAAAGATCTCTCTTCTCCACTACATCAGTAACATTGGTCTTTGACACTTATGGCCACATTTGCCCCTTAGGGATATTTTCCT